CAAGCAGTAAACTTGTTTGTATATGGACTGTTTGTAGTTAAATGCCTATTTCAGGCTGTTAATAAATATTTCAAGTTATTGGACTATTTATCTGTTAGGTCACATACAAGTCATTATTATTACCTAAAATCTAACTTTATTGTGCTATTCGTGTTTTTATGCGTGAGATTGGCTTCAAGTGGCTCAGTTTAGTTTTTCGGACCTTTTCTATTCCCTCCGCGTGGACGGCGCAGGATGTACGCTAAAGCCTGATTCGCATGATGAGATTTCGCTCTTAATTTTCAGTCGCGACGTCGCTCGAGCTGCAAAAGCGTGAATTGTAGCTGAGATGGTCGACGTCGATACTGAAAATCGCAAGCAGAATCGGACCAAGTGAATCAGGCATAACAAGTCGGTGATGGCCACCGGTAACAATGATCAACATCTCATTGTATCTACTGTTTACATCGAGCCTGCTTACCAACCTTAAAACTTAAGTCTTTTGAGGCCTGCACATACTTCTTATCGCAAGTACCGGGCCAACATTCGGTCTACGGGCCGGTGTCGTCTAAAAGAGCAGACGACAAGCAGAACCGTTTGAAAGAGCGGACGACAGTTCGAACGATCAGGCGGCCGTTTGAACTTGAAAGCGCACTGAACATAGTGCGCAGGTGGTCCGTACAACTTGACGGTTTTCCGGCGTTCATGTTGGAACAAAACAGATAAATCTGATGACCACAAGTAGCCGTGAATTCAACCCAAAGTGCTTCCCGCCCAAGCAATCGTGGTCCGATGGCGTCTGGTTTTCCCTTTTCACGGCACATTTCCACGTTCTCGGACGAACCGAGCAGATGAAAACTGACCTTCGAACATTTCTCGACTCTTTTAGTACAGCCCCAGTCGAAGCGTTTTGACGAGAAGGCAGGTTTTTGTCTGGTTCCTTTAAAAAAAACACAGGAATACACGTCTCACATGGGGACATCTGCCCACAGCCCCAGACCGGAAGTGCGCCCGACGCGCCACCACCGCGCCGTGACATAACAGAGATGAGTTTGTGTATAGCGCAGTAGGCAATCGTTGCAGGTGAAACCACAGTTTCGCTGACCAACCACCTTCACAGCGTGGATTGGAGCCCCGACTTTTTTTCCACTAAAACACACGAAAGAAATGCAGAAAAGTCAGCTTTGGGGGAAGTGGGGGAGACAATGAAGGAGGATGAACGGTGAGACAAGGACAATCCACTGTGCCAGGACAAGACGCGCCAAAGCAAGGTAGCCCTACGACTGAATAACCTCAGCGATTGATTTTGAACGCTTTTCTTTCAGTGTCTTCCTAACGTGGTTAGACAACTATGAAATAGGCCACTAGAATGAATCTGGTTTCTCAAAAAAGTTTTGATCTTTTTCCCGTCTCCTTTCCCGGGCCCTTCATGTTTTATTCCACGATGTTAGCGTCTAGTGTGCGCGGCTATACGAACTTTTTTTTTTTATCGCTTCAACACTGATCGCACATGACGCAGCACGCGGCCGCAGAAGCAGACGGACGGCGCGAGACGGAGAGGGCACCAGCGGACCGTGGGACCAAATTTGGTGGGACCGTACAAGGACGGTGAGGGGAGGGACTGGAAAGAATGGCGAGGTTGTGATCGACGCGCGAACCTGCTCTTTGAAAATGCTTGAATGTCGATACGCCACATATCGCTAAAATCTGGAAATAAACCGGCCGTGTCCCCGAAAGTTGGTCTTGGTAAAGTTTATTGCTTACTTTTTCATTCACTAAATCCACCAGGCCGTTCATGCAAATTATCGTGGACATAGAGACGTTATAAGTCGAAAAAAAGTTCAATATCAGAAACTGTGGTCTATTAAAAGTTAAATAATAAACTAACAAATAAAAATAAACGTATTCTCGAGACATTAAAGTATAGTCACACAGCAGTTCTTTCATTTGACGTTAACTCTATGACTGTATAATGCATAGATAAAAAGTTATAAAGCGTTAAAAAAAGCAAAACGGCCTGCACGGTGGGGTTTCACTTTAATATTATTGGAGCTTGTAAGAAAACCCTTTCTTCGGCACAACAACTCTTTTCCTTTTCTTGAACACATTTAGCAAATATACGGAACACGGCAATCCGCGGTTTAAACACAAACCGCACACTTCACAGAGCAGCACGGCTGGCCGTCTCGTCGTCTCGAGCGCTGGACGGGATATGACGGATTTTGCGCAGCGTTGCCAGACACTCTTGTTGGGATTGCGGTACTCTGAAAACTTATCCAGTGACACTAAACATCAGGAGGGAGTGCGCTCGGTCGCCGCTTTCGTGTCAGGCGTTTCCGAAGGGGGGGGGGGGGGGGGGGGTAGGGGGGGTAGGGGGGGGGGGGGCGGGGGAGGGGTGAGGAAAGGGCTGCGTCCGCTTCTGCTCCTCTCGGCGCCGAGGAGCATTGCGGCGCCTGAGGCATCTACAGTATATCGGCGGCGGCCGCAACCTCGGCAGTAGCGAAACGTGGCCTTCCACACCAGTACAACGCAGACGAGCTTAAGGAGAGCAAGGATGACAATCATGCTTTCGGATTCACAACTCATAAGAAGTGCTTAGGTGTCCTCAGTTTTTTTTTTTTTTTTTACAGAACTCCAGGCTGTAAATTAAACAAACAAGTATGCAGACGAATCGTGACAATTTACAGCCGGGTTTCATTTTAGGCTTCAGGATTAGCGACCGTACCTAAGATGAGCGCACTGGAAATATCAACTTCTGCCTTCAGGCGTACCAGCGTTGTGCCCGTTTTACCTCCCTCGCGAAACAACAGCGGCCGAGACGAGCGGGAGAGCCTTGCATCCTCTCTCGTCACCCTGCCACGAAGCAGCAACGAGTGGCAAAAGAACACGCCAAGCCGTAGCGGAGCGAGCCGAAGCCAAAGAACGGAGAGGAATCAATCGGCACTCTTTCCTCCTCCCATCACTCGTAGATAACCAGCCGTACGTACGAGCTAACTGCGCCAATGCGAAGCTGGAGTCGACCCTACTTCCCCGGAAATGTACGGAGAGGTCACATGGCCCGCCCTTCCTCAACGTCACCCTGCAAACCCTCATCAAACCTATCTCCCCTTGAACCTCATACCTCTCCAAACTCATGAAGTCACCGACCTCACGAACTCACGCCCCTCACCGAACTCATGAACTCGCCGCGAACTACTCACGCCCTTCACTCAACCTCAAACTCGTGAGTTTTCGAGGCTTACGAACTAACTCATTTTCACCTCACGCCTGATAGGTGAGGGTGAGTGAGTGCACTCATCATTGAGTTTTGCAGAGGTACGGCTTGTACACACAGTTGCGTTGACACGCAATCAATTGAGCTAACAGGTGATATTCACTTGACGTCACTCGCCAGGTACGCTGGCATCGACCACCACGGTCTCCACCCTCGAGTTCTCTCTCTGTTCCACTTAGCTGTCGGCTGTCGTCTGGCCGGACCTTTTAGCGTGGTTTGGCAGAATTTTACAACTTTAAAAATTCGTTCGGGCGAAAATTTTCGGGGTTGTTTTTATACATCAGTGCTTTCAAAGCACGGTAGGAATATCTTCTTTTGTTTTGTTAGTTCGTTTTTGACGTCTGCTCCGTTCAGCGCTCTATGTCGCACGCCGTGCCCACGGCGGTAGCTCTTGTGTGAAAACTGTTACTTTTCAACTTTGGAGCTTCTGTAGCACGGTGTGATTACTTTTGGTTCTGTTTTGCTAGTTATTGTTTTGTTTTTGTCTACTGCGAACTTTTTCTACTCCGGCCGTGTGATAGTGTTGCTCCACCGCAGCCGTGTCGTGCGTCGGTGTTCGTTTCTGTGTAGAAACACATCGCGCAGTTCACCCTGTGCGCCGCTAATGAAAAATGCGACGCATTCTTCATTAACGAGTGGTCTTTCTCTTTGAAGGGCCATGGCCATTCTCTTCGAAGTTAAGGCTGCCGTTCTCTCACACTGGTCACTTTTGGGATGAGGAAAAAGCCTACTTTCGCAAAGTTTTCGTCGATAGGTTTTTTTGCGTGTGGTTACTGTTAGAGCACCCAACAACCGCGCAGTTCACCATCGCTCAAACGAGTACACACGACACTTGGCGGCAGCAAGGAAATTAAAACGTGCTACCCCCCGAGATAATATTTTTCTCTCTCCTGTTCAACGAAACTCCGTCAAGGATATAAAATGAACACACACGACCAAGGGACGACCGCATACCCAATACAGCCAAACCGTGAGCCAAAACCGCAAAAAAAAAGAAGAAGAAAAAAAAAAAACGCCTTCTCGAAGATGGCTATTTGACGGCGGCGCTCCCGCTCCCTGGTAAAATGAAACCTGCTGGCTCAATGCATACCACCTTATTGGTGGCGACGGCGTTGAAGTGGCCGATCTTCGTACGATCCCGCTGTCTTCGTCGACTTATGTCCAGTTTCATTAAAAAAAAAAAAAAAGTTACTTCCGATGTCTTTACCCCTCCCCGAAACGAAAAAGCAAGTCGCCAACGCACGCGAGCGAGCACGTGACCCTCCCTACCTTTCTCGGCTGCCGATAGGTCTAACGCAACGCAACGCTTTGGAAAGTTGAGCGAGTCTCTTCTTGCGTCGCGCTGCAGGACAGGACATCGCGCTGCGTCGGCATGCTTTTGTGTCCGAGTAACCGCTTCCTGCTCCAAGGACGCCGTTTCACCCTCAAACGCGAATGTGCGTAGCGCCTTCATGGTCAACGAGCTGCGGTGCGCTAAACACCCTCGGTCACCGAAATGACTTTGAGGCTGAAATTTACGACGGTTAATTACCATACGTTTGTAATGGCACGAAAACCTAGAATTCGTTCTAGCTAAGCCGGGCAAGGAACGTTCATAAAATCTGAAACCAGAAATCCGAAAAGCCGGGCAAGGAAATGTTCATAAAATCCGAAACCAGAAAATTGTTGTTTTCTTTGTTTGCGCTTTAATTTTTACAGAAATAAATGATGAAGAGCGATGTCGCTTCCCTTGCCATGTTTCTTGTAGCCACCTGGGTCGGCGGAGGTTACATCAACGGCACTGCGGAGGTCGTCTACCTGTCCGGAGTTGTCCTGGCGTATGCACCTTTCGGCTACGCGCTCAGCCTGGCCATTGGTAAGAGCCCTATTAGCACCGAGATTAGAGTGACCTTAGCAGAGATGTTCCGATGGCTCCCGGTTTCAATTCGTGACGTCGCACGACCAGAATTTGCCTCGCTGTGACGTCGCAAGATACAAGTTACGAACAAGAAATCTAAATTTGCGCGGAGGCAGTGTTTTCCAGCGCGCTCGGATTCTTTCGAGCCCTGATGAACTGCGCCTAGATGCCGCCGAATGGACTCCGAAGGAGATGCGGCTCAAATGCGTCCTCGCTCGTGCTTACCGAGTTCTGTCGTCAACGGAGCCACTCGCCATGCATGTTTGTGCGTTTCACCAACACCAAAAGCGACGCCAATAACTAGGCGTCTGCATGCCAGCCGCCTGTCCAAACAGGACACTTCAAATGGCGAGCGACATTTCACCGCCATATGAAGGGAAAGTTGCTGTCGGCCGTCCGTTTTTCTTTTGAATATTAACCATTCACGGTAAACAGTACGGCTTCCTTCTCGCTTCCGTCGCTTTCCTGTGACTGCGGTGTTCGTCATACTTAACGTCACACGTGACGCGCCCCAACGATGTGTGTGCCTATTCGTTCTGCCATGGCCCGCGCCCGCGGCAGCGCGGAGAGGAGACAGTCACACGTGCGCCATAGAGCTAACAGAATAATAGCCTATTTTTCTAATATTTACCGACAACGCAACTGAAAGGATGTTGAAGACGTCCGGCCGTTCGAAATTCGCGTTCAGCTCGCGCGAAGAAATTTCGCCTCTTCGCCCTCTTATCTATCTTGTTTCGGGAGGCGCAGACTTGAAAGGCCCTGATTGATCGCCAACAGAACGTATGAGTAGGTGACCGGACCCACCTGATGACGCTCCACGCCACCGTCAAGTACAAAAAAAAAAAAAAAAAAAAAAAAAAGATCCGGACGAAACGTTGTTTGAAGTGTCCTGTTTGGACAGCCGGGACAGGTAGTGAAAAGGGCGTTTTGTGATATCAACCTATATGGCATGCGAGATTATACTAAACATTGCGCGACTGTAGAAATGGAACGCTTCGAAATTGCATTTCCCGCAGGGGGTCATCTGTTCGCCGCGAAGATGCGAAAGGCCGGCTTCAAGACTATGCTCGACCCCTTACAGCGGCGTTATGGAAACTTTATGTGCTGCCTTCTGTTCCTTCCTGCGCTCTTAGCAGAACTTTTCTGGACGGCGGGGGTACTGGCGGCGCTAGGTGAGTTCGCTATGCCGCTTCCTCTTAATGAATAACCATGAACATTTGTCGTGAAAAAGAGCTTTGACCGTCGGGAAATCAGTCTTTGTTGAGCGCGTTTCTCCGATTAACTCCCCGCGTGTTAACTTTTCCTTTGACAACGCACGGACATCTGACAAACGGCAAATTGAAATAATATTACAATGTCGCGAATAATGATTATTGGTTCAATCTTCGTACACGTTGTTTGTAAAACGTGTCTATCGGGCGAGAGAGACCGTTGATGAAACACCTAGCTGTCCATTGTTTTAGAGCGCAGCTCTTAGGGGCCCGTTTCCAGCCTGAGCGGCGTCGGCGTAACCGGGGGGGGGGGGGGGGTCCCGTGACCCCCCCGAGGTCACGCGACCCCCTCCGAGGTCACGTGACGCCCCCCCCAGGTCACGTGACCCCCCTCCGAGGTCACGTGACGCCCCCCCCCCCCCCCCCCCGAGGTCACGTGACCCCCCTCCCCCGAGATCACGTGACCCCCCGGGGTCACGTGACTACCCGCAGGTGATCTGACCCCCCTCAGTACCCTTCCCTACTCCTCCTCAAGAGCTGCGCTCCAATTCGGCGTTACAGGGATTTGTAAACGGCTTTCATTTTTTATTCGTGAAATGATGCCATTTCTGATTTTGCCTGAATACACAATTTATGCTTCTGCTGAATGTCGTAGTTCGTAAAACACGCGAACACGTGATCATTTTTTTTAATATCGGATGAATAAAGGTAAAGTTTGGGGCTTCACATGCCAATAGGCACCTCGCACGCTTTAGCGGGTTCATTTCGACCAGCTGAGATCTCTTGACGTGCAACCGGAAGCCTCCTCCGCAATGAGCTTCCGTCAGAGTGCGGGCATCTCGGCCGGGATTCAAACGCGTGGCGGGTTTGAACCGCAGGCCGGCGCTTTGCCTCGAAGCCAGCGGCTATCTCAGATGACTGCTCTTGACCCCGTGAGGACGATGTCATGTTCCTACGCAAATGAATTGTTCGTGCGCATGCGCACTTCACCCCGTGACAAGGCGAATAGCGGGCGAAGAGGTTGGACCAAGCTTGGAGACGCTTGGGAGAGGAATTTACGCCTCTTCCTCCTCACAGCGTGCATTGCAAACGTAGCCCATAAACCAAACGCGACTCCTATCGTGCAGTTGCAAACACTCTCAGTCTAGGCCACAGAGGAACAAGCACTTTAGGTGATGACTCACTGTCCGACGCGGCGGCAACATTATGTTCGGCGCACCGAGCGCGCTTCACTCGCACGGGGATAGATGGCGCCCAAGTATGGAATCCTTCCCAAACCGACCGCTCCGGTTGTTGCTCCCAGCGGTGGTCCCGCATCCCCTCGCTCACAGTTTCTTGTTGCACCTCACCAGCACCACGCCGCCACCAAGTAGCCAGAGTCCGTAAATCTCTGGTCTCTTCCTTCTTTTTCTTCTTCCTCTCCTTCGGACTAAGGCTAACCTTCATGCACGATGGTAGCACCTGTGATCGACACAGCACCAAAGCAAAACACGAGGCCAGCCACTGGCTGCACACCACCGCAACACCGCGAAAAAGGCGAGCACGCTACGCCGCCGACACCGTGGCCGCCGAGAGGGACCTGTGCTCATACGTCAGCGCCCTCCGCGGCGGCGCGGAACTAACTTCTCCTAGTTCGAGGCTAGCCAGGCTAGCTCCGAACACGATCTGGTCGCTCGCTTCCCGCGAGAAGAGCGGCCAGGGTCATCACCTAAATGTATTTCTTCCACCGTGGTCAATGCGTACTAGCAGCGACACTTCCAGACATTCGTTCTAAGGGTGGCAAACTTTGCCCTTAAAGAAAGACAAATCTACGGAAGTAGGGTGTTTCATCTCTGCAATGTTAAGTTTTTATCACTTGCGCTGTAAAAAAAATAATAATAATAACAGCAAGATTAATCGCTGCACGTGATAATTGTACCATTGCCTGATATACTGCAGCCCTCGGGTAAGAAATTCACGATGATCAGGTAATGCCGGAGGCAAGCCGGCGTAAGTTTACAATTTTCTTCAAATACATGAGACTGTGTGGAGAAACTAGAGGTGACATAAGTAGAAGTTGGACAAAAACCAACGTTGGTCGCGGTTTTCTCTTTCTTTTACTTTGGTTGCTTCTAGATTTCTCTAGCCAGTTTCAGGCGTTTAAATAATATTGTAAAATAAATGCAGTTCTCCTACTCCTTGTACTGGCAAAGTATGACGCCAGACGTGGCAACATAAATATCCAAGTAAAAATTTAAAAAAAAAACAAAAAAAAAACGTTAACGATAAGTTTTTTTGGTTACCTTTGCCCGGAGCGACGTCTTCAAGCGACGGAGCGTTCAAAACGTGCACTCTGCCAAGGCGATTACGTGCTAACACATCCATCGAGCCAGTACATCCACCGAGCATTTACATCCATCAATGGATGTAATGGCACGGTGGATGTACTAGCTCGTTGGATGTGTTGACATGTGCATGGATGCGGCTGCTCGATGGATGTAGTTGCTCGTTGGATGTATTTGCTCGATGGACGTAGTTGCTCGATGGATGTAATTGCTCCTCCTTCCTGTTACGACGCCTAGACTGCCGTTACATCCATCGTGCTTCTACATCTATAAAAGTCAATATGGCCGCCATTGGGTTTTTTGCGTTATTCACATTCGTATGCTGAGAGCAAGTTCGTCTGCTTCTTTTGCAGGGGTTGCGGGGACGTCATGATGCTAAGCTCTGACTGGTTCTGAATGAAGGATAGCGGGTAGACCTTAAGGCAGCTTGCTTTGGCGTCTTCCCACTATCTTTCCATCAGAGGCAATCAAAGCTCGGCGCCTTTCTGACGTCACCGCAACCCCCTGCGCAAGAAGCAGACAACTTGCTGTCCGCATTGGTTCGGGAGCCACAGGAAACAAAGTGTGAGCACAGAACGTTAGTGTATCACAATTAAATTCTATAAGACATTCGTATTTTTCTTTCTCAAGCGAAATGAAATGTGTGATTCTGTGTACCATCCCAGTTTTATAGAAATCTTAATAATTAGTTAATTTTGAGGATCAAAAAAGCAGTAACTAAAGTTTGATCAGTGTGGAATCAACAAACAACGAACCGACGATGCGTGTTCGACTTTGATGACGCCAAGGGCCGCAGAAAGTGCATGACGCACAGAGGGCCCTTTTAATCGCTTTAGTACGTTCAATTTAGCGTATAACTCTTCAAAATAATGTGAACTATTCTACAGCAAAGTTAAACGAAGAAATAAACCTGCGTGATTGATGGATGTAAAGGCACGTTTTTAGGCGAAGCGGCACGATGGATGTAACTGCGCGATGGATGTAATGACACGCGTTTGGACGAAGTTGCTCGATGGATGTGATGGCGTGGTGGATTTATTGGCACGATGGATGTAGCGGCATTATGGATGATATGGCAGGCTGGATGAACTGGCTAAAAATAGATGTAATGGCACAATGAACGTGCTAGCACTGTGGATGTACGGGCACGATAGATGTAATGGCACTAAATTGGATGTAATTGCTCGATGGATGTAATGGCACGATGGATCTGTTGGCCCCAAGTCTGCCGAGGCCTGGTCGAGGCTTTTCGCTGCCTGACAATGCTGCCAAAATATGCAGTAGCGTCCAGGAACTCACCGACGGTAGATATAGTAGCCAAACATTGAAATAATTCGGGTAACGTGGCTTGTATTGTCGGAAATGTTTTTTTTTCTTCTCGGTAGTGGTTAACAGACAAATGTAGTCTTTCTTGTATAATGCCTTTCCTTCTTAACAAATTTTAATTTAAATATGTGTGAGTGTTTCAGTATAGGACATACTTCCACATTAAGTAAATGTATTCATTCATGTTTTTATTTTCTTATTTACCTACGTTTTATTTATTATGTTTTTCTGCCGCTGTATCATTGGGGGCTGGGACAAATCAAGCGGTTTTCAACAACCTTTCTTTCCCACGTCCTCCATCAACATTGTATTTTTTTTTCATGGAAAAAAAAGGATGCAGTAACAATTATTATTAGATGAATGAACCGCACTTGATCGATTGAATCAAAGTTTTACGAAACCGCCGAAAGTCAAAATATTTGGCGGAGTCAGGATTTTAACTCAGCCTCCCAATGTACGGTGTCTGGTGTTGTAACTACTCCACCACTCCACCTCTACTTTCTGGCTTTTTTAAAGGGCAACTCCTGTCGAAAACAAAATTGATATAAATTACTGGTATCGCTTTAGTGGCACGAAATATGGTCACGGCCGAAATATTACGTCAAAGTAAAACCGCGTACTCCACTAAAACCGATTTCAAAGATGCGACCAGCTGCTTGTTAGCGGGTGACAAGCGGATTACCTTTTAGTCAAGGAACACTGGCGCAGCACCCCAGTGGCGTCACGTCGCGGTGGAGTCGATTGGTTGTACCGCGTACCGCAGCACCACCGTGACGTTACGTCGCGGCCGTACGGCTGATGATCAGTGTTGCCATCCCTCTAGCAGATAGTTTCGGTTTTGCTGTACACGCCCGAAACCCAATTTGAGCCCATGATATTTATAAAACTGCACATAATACCGAGAAGAAAAAAATATACATTGTAATTCAGGGTCACCGTCTCGGCTGAAAACAGTCGCAATCCCAAATTTAAAAATATTGACCGGAGTTACTCTTTAAAATTATACTGAACCGAAATTTCGAGCTCACAAAACAGGGCTGTAGTGATAGGCAGGATGCTGCAGAGCCCCAAAAGAAAACACCATTGGTACAGCGACATCTCTAACGAATGGCCGTATATTCGGAAAAGAAATGCGCGACTGAACACGGCCAACGAGGCCGACGAGATATGTGACGCCACGGTTCTCATTGCCCCCCTTTCTCGCTTCGTCCCGTCCAGCTGGAGAACCGAAGAAAGGAGGAGAGAAGCGAGGCCGCTTCCCCTCATTCTCAACTTTTCCAGGAGGATCGTGACGTCAGAGTCCTCGTTTGATCTTGCCCTTCTATTTAAAAAAATACGGCCATCCGTTTGAGATAACTATGAGTGAGTGAGGTTTTGATGTTCGTAGTGCCCCGTTCAACGCTTTTGCGGCCTTATTTTGCTGAATCCACATTTCGGTTCAGTGTCCCTTTAATGCACAAGAAACGATAGGTGTCCATGATCAGAGCTGTTCTGGAAGCACACGCCGCGCCCTCCTTCTCAATCTTAAGGGGTATTCACACAGGGGAGAAACCCCACCATTTGTTCCCCGGGATGCGCATCACGTGGTAAGAACGTCACGCTTTTGCGGAGAGCCGCGCTGACGTAGGCCTCCCAGAGAAAGGGGGGACATTTGGCTCCAGCTGCACAAACAGTCCTTGGAGTGGAATCTCTTCGCAATTAACGATAGTTTGTTCTGGTGTCTGGCAACTTTGATTTTGTTCAGCAAGATACCGGCGGTGGCATCGAGATCGCCTATCTACGGTTGTGGCTTGAGCTGTTGCGCATGTCGTACGAGGCATCCGGAGGAGTCTTCGACATTTATCAATGCTGTCCTCAAGCCGCTCCTCATACAACTGGTTTTTGATTTCACGTCCCTTGTGTTGCATCCGCCCATTCAAGAAGCACATTTTTTTTCAGCAGGAAGCAGTTTGTCGTCTTCCGCATCTAACAACGTTGCTGCCGTAATTGTGTATCGCCGTTTCATGTGCTATGCCTTAATTTTTCTGCTCTCGTCAGCGCGCACCGAGCCCTGTTGTCGAGAGTGCGACCGCTAAATGCGTCTAATAACATTGGCATCCCTCTTGGCTCCCCGCCGTTCGTGTGAGTGCTTGAGTCGGGGAGGGGGTCCCGCTGGTTCCGCCGATTACTGACGTCACGCACATGATCCCCGAAAGCATCTCCCGTGGGAATACCCTCATCGCCACTGCGCCCTAAAACTCGCACATGGCCAGGTGTCCCAGTTTGCTGTCCCTTCGGCACCCAGGAGCGTCGATGGAGGTCATCTTGGGCTGGAGGCGCGCCGAGTCCGTCGTCACGTTCGCCCTCGTCGCCCTCGTCTACACGCTGGCCGGAGGACTCTACTCGGTCGTCTACACGGACGTCCTGCAGTTGGCAGTCACCTTCTTCGGGCTGGTCTGACGCTCGTATCATTATTTTTTTTTCTTGCATTTGAATGCAGCGGGAAAGGAAGTGTTCTCGTTTAACACCCTTCGGTAGAAAGATTTTTAGGGTAAGAACCCCGAGGTGAAGAAGAATAAATTGGCTTCCACCTGAAGTGGAGCGCAACTATAGTGCCCTCAAAGCGACGGGTAGCAAATGTTTAACATTAGTTTTCCTCCACTGACTACCAGTTCCTGGTTAGCTCGGTAGAGGGAGCACCGTCTTAGTCTTGGAGAAGTACCGGGATCGAATCCCGGACCATGGTGGATTTTTTTCTGTGACCACCAGTCGCTTACAAGGAGCGAGATGCGCTTCATTTCAGGTGGAGACCAATTTATTCTAACGTCAAATCCCGAGCAAGCGCTTACGCAAAAATTTTGAGATAGTCACGTAAAACTGGGGGACGGGTGCTTTTTACCTCAACAGTATGTGAAGATATATTCTCCATGTATTTTCAGAATGTTACAAGATTGGGGGGAGGGCGCCTATTATAAAACGGGCGGATGGTGGATAGTACGGTACCTAAACATTCTTTGGGATTTGAAGAGCACGGCCAGGGCACAGTCGACGTAAAAAAGTTAGGAAAAAAGGGTCATGTTTCAGATATTCTTTATATTCTCGTTATCAATGACGATCTACCGCAAGGAAAAGCCTAGAAATGTCGAATGTCACTGGGAGGCTTCAAGGAGGTTTCTGCTTAAATACTACCGGCCGTCTAATTACAACGCGATAACAGAAGCGTGCAGAAGGTACAACGTAGTGTGTCTAATTTAGGAGTTAGCACCTCACATTTCTTTGATATTACCAGAATTGTTTTATCATTTAGATAGCCACCGAGCGAGTAGTTACTAGGCCTATTCAGTTCCTTGTTCAAACATTCCTGAAGAAAGAAAGAAACTACTTTAAAAAGTAGGTTATACTTATTGCGTTTGGATACGTAAAAAATAAGGTTTGTAATGTCTGCTAAACAACAATAAAAAGCTGAAAAGAATGCACATTTAACGCATATTATCAGTTTGAGAAACCTCGCAATGCTCAAAAACCCTCTGAAGTTAGGCATTTCTTAGCCCGTATGTAACTCTTGTGTGGATTGAAGAACGGGTACTGTTAACAAATGGCACCTCGCAGTGGTTGTGCGTCCCCTACGCCATGTTCCACAAAGCAGTTGGCAAGATATCGTACCCTGCCAACAACTACTTCGGTGACATCGAGTGGGCTCAGATCGCTCGCTACTGGGACTCGGTCATGCAAGTCGTGATGGGAGGAATCCCCTGGCAGGTACAACAACGTCTTTTGTTAAGTAAAGTCCGTAGACCGTTCCATACGTAAGCAAATCTTTCCGTGACAATAGATCATTTTAGTTCGTTCCGATAACGATATCCGATACTCCGCCCACTCCTTTGCAAGCATCGTATCGTTACCAGATATTGCCATGGGAAGTATCTGGACTATTTATACTAAAACTCCCTAGCGCCTGAAATCCGTCTGGAAACGGTGTTGTTTTTTTCGTGTCCTGAAATGTGGTCCCTTGATTTCCGCCTGATGACGTCATGGAAGTGTCATGCTGCTGCCTGCCGCGATCCTGGTGGTGGCAGAGCAGCAGAGATGTGTGCGGCAGACGCCAGTTCTGCTGCAGGTGTCTCTTCAGCTTGACAGCCCATGGAAGTTAAATAGCCAGGAGTTAGGACAAGGTAACGACAGCGCCCCTCACGTTAGCTCGTAGTCTTTACCGGAATTACTACGACCAAGCGCCAGGATCGCAACATCAAACAGCATCATGGCACCCCGTCTCCTTTGATGTCATTTGTTGTCACTTCGGGACGATGCGTGGGCGGTATATAGAACGCTGAACACACCAGTCCAATTTGCGCCGCTCCAGGCATTTTAGTAGCAATGATGTCAAGACTATGGGGGGCCTTGCGATCACGGCGCACTCCTTTTACTCGTTCGGAATGCCGCAGAAAGTGGTCGCCGAGTACGCCCGTCCACGGAGATGCAAGATAAAAACATGACGGCAAGCTCCACCCACAAAGATCTATTTTCCGTAATCGGCTAATCGGAAACGTTTCCACTAAAGCCACTTATATTCGCTCCAGCCATTAGATGACACCACCTACCTCCCCACAAAACGTGGAGCTATTGCACATCAAGCCCTCATCAAACTTAGCTAGATATTCGTACGTACCTAAGAAGAGAGGACGGTTAACTTTTTGCCACGGTTAAAGTTAATCTGTTTTGAGCAAACGGGCCCCTTCGTCATATAATAAAGTTTCTTTCTTAAAGCTTTAATTTCCAAAGTGAACCTCCAACCCATGTTTAATTAGTGCTTCCTCGCGCGAGCGCATAGCGGTATTGGTGATCAGTGGAATACAAGTGAGTGAGGATTTTACTTTTGCTCAAACTGCACGCTGTTAATTCCCACTATGATGATAATGACTTTCGCGCAGGTCTACTTCCAGCGGGTGCTCGCCTGTGAAAGTCCTGAGGGGGCCGTACTGTCCTCTTATATGGCTGCGATGGGCTGCCTGATCATGGCGATGCCTTCCATCATCATGGGTGCCATTGCCAGAGCAGCTAGTACGCTTTATATGCCATCGCAATTTAGTTATTGTTACTACCAGGGCGTCATTTGTTACTTTAGACGTAATTAAGGATTATAAAATAATTCTAAGTTTAAACTTACTTTTTCAATGGCATTTGAGGTCACAGACGTTGGAGATAGCAAACAGACCACGCAAAATGTCTGCAAAATATAGTGAACAGAATAAATTTATCGTACAGATAAACCACAAACCTCTTCTCATATTTACTTTTGATTCTCGTTATTGCATAACAAAAGCAATAACGAGCCTTTTTTTCTCTCGACCGCGCTTCGCAACCGTGAACAGACGGAGACGGGGACCATCTCTTGGCAATCAACAATTCATTTAGTCAGGCTCGTACGTGGTGAGACAGACGAAGCAGTGCCATAAAAATATACTATAAAAAGATGCTGCGTCAAACTGAACACTCAGTCACTAAAATAAAATAATAATCACAAGGATATCCACTCAGTCACTAAAATAAAATAATAACAAATCGCAAGGATATCAGGATTGCGCGACCTCAAGAGTAAGTAAAAGATCATACGATTCATCACGGGCTTCCGTTTATCGGGCCGCCATTGGCGTCTATTCCACCAAAGCGTGCGCGTGCAGAGAATGCGTTTCGTTTACAATTGGTATCGAATTAGGCTCACAGCGAGTCAAAGTTAGCACGTACAGCCGGAGCGCGTCTCCAAGTAATGGCCTGGCTTAGACATTTCGTGAAATGCAGCGAGCGTGCGATAGCACTTGAGGTCACGGATTCGTTCTGTTCTTTGTAACGTCGACGACGGGCTTTGGAATCCCCACTCTTCGGAAGTCTCGTAGCGTTGGCGGCAACGCGCTACCGTCGGAGCCTTCGAATGGGGTGGGGCACGTGCACAGGGGTTCGGTCGGTCTCATTCAGCTACAGCTTATGCCCACGCTCTTCTTTTTAAGTCGTGAATCTCTTCTTTAGGGTATTACATCATTTTTTTTTTTTTGTGAAATTTTCTCACGCTTGCAATCTGACCGTGAAATGCCTCTGCGCCTGATAGACTACTTCCGAAAATTATTGCATGTAACTCTGCGTGCGTTGCATTATGGGACGTCTTTGGCCATGGAAAAGGGTGGCATGGTTCCGATTTCGATTGCCCGTTGACGAAGTAGTGCATATGAGCACTGCATGAAAATAAAGTCAGCCCTCGCTTGCATCGCACCCATTCACCTTCGTGCGCCCAGCCACCAGCGGCCGTAAGGACCTGTCTAGACTTAGCGAGGAGTAGGAGTGCGGCCGGCCGCGTCCCATACCTTTCTGGAGGCCTGGCTATCCCTCCAGAGTGCAGCAGGACCCTCCAGGCTCGCGAATAATTTAAGAAACCGATTGAGGAGATAAAACAGGAGACCGTCTCAGTATACTTCTTCTTACATGCGCCTTCGTAGTTTCGTTTACACGCGCAAAAACACAAGACACAGCCCTAAAAATAAAATAAAAAAAAGATTTAGCTTTTTTTTTGTATTGGCAGATAACACCTACAGGAACATAAGTTTATGGAAAGTCATTTATTAAAAAATACAAGCACTGCATTTGGTCATGACGCGATGTCGTGAAGTGAGAGGGTGGCATATCGAAACCGAAACTGTGGCGAAGAAGCCCCTTAGGTGCTTTGCAAGCTCCTATGCCGCAACGATCGCTTCGATTTTGTAAGAGGTCTATTATCCTACTCATACGCACTGCTTACCCAGGGTGCCCCCCCCCCCCCCCCCCCCTCCCCCCAAACACTCCGCGCGGCGCATCACCTTTGGTGTCGTGCTATGACGTCAGACGAACACTGGTGCTTCCTTGCCTATACGTAATCCTATGGCCTTGCTACGGTGCGATTAGCACCTACATGAGAAAGCAGGGTCCGCGCACAAAGCTTCTATCAACACTATGACATAAAAAAAGAAAGCACTACGCTTTTTCCGGTTACTGTTCAAAAGGAGTAATGCGCCAGCATTTGGGATCTTTTCCGGGACCTCTACATAGCTCCACTGCGCGCTCCTCCTACGCGCAGCTGTTTTATGCTTGCGTTACCTTCTTTACACTTTATTCACCCTTAAGCTGAGACTAAAAAAAAATTGGGTTGTGTGTGTGTTTATACAGCCTAGAACTTGGTCTGCCTCAGAGGGGCGACGAGTCTCCCAGCTGTAGATGAGCAATTTAGCCAGTGCGGTACAGCCGCTAGCCTGGGGTCTTTAACGTGCATCACGCAGTAGTGATACACGACCGCACGCCGGTACGATGCTCATCCAGATCGAAACGGGCAGGGGTGGGGCTCGAACCCAGGATCCCTGGGTTCTGCAGCGCGAGCTTAAGCTGAGACTAGAAGCTCCGCTTTCAGTGCAAGCTCTCTGCCCTTTCTAACACAAGTGTGAACGTGCGGGCAGGCGCAACCAGATCACTGTAGAAGCCAGCAAGTTCGCGCTGAAGGCGCAGCTTCTATACTTTGTTTCAGCTTCGGTCCAGACGCAGCCAAAGCTACAAGCGCGAACTCCGGGCTTTCAGCATCCCTGCCAAGCACGCGCGCTCGTGCAGTGCAAGCACTGTTGTGGGCCACATGCTCGCGCTTGTAGCATCGGCTGCGTCTGGACCGAAGCTGAAACGAAGTATAGTCAGCTTAAAGTTGAACGGTATACATCACACCACAGCGCCTGCTCTCTATGCGCGGAGCTGGTTCGCTCTGACGTCCTGGCCTGTTGAAAATAGGACATTCTCAAATATATTGACGGGATGATCGATATATAACAACTGCTTCATTACAACTCGGGAGCTTGATTTATATTGGCCCTACGGATAACCACGTAGTATGCACAGGTTGCTGCAATTTAATGCAATTAATGCGAAGGTGCAACGAGCTGGACAAGAATAACGATAATAATCCCCAGAGAAGGACAACAAGTGGGACAAAAGGCAAAAATAAATCTCAGAACACAGCTAGGTTACTAGCTAGGGTATGTTGACGCTCTGTGAAATTTGTGATTGACTTTGAACTTTTCTTTATATATGCCTGGCACCTAACCATTTCCGTCCCTAACCAGGGACGAAAGTCGATTAGCCGACTTCCAGCCTAACACTGACACAGCGCTCGTCTTATCACTGATTGGAGATCAGTGCAACCCGAACGTCTTCCTTGAGTGCATCCGTGTTACTCCCGGCGACGGGGAAACATCCCGACGGCAGGGAGACATCAACATCACGTGCAGTCTCTCGGAGATGGGGACGGTGATGCTAGTCGTCGAGTGCACTGACCACCGTTGGTGGTGAGGTGCCTCCAATAGCGTGCGCACGCTTGTCAACAGAAATACACGTCTAACAAACTCTCGTACGGAACCGCGGTGATATAATGATGGCAATATCAGAACTAATCTTCTTGATGTAATGAGATGTCGTCACCCCCAAACTCACTAAAACACAGGGTGAACAACATGCGGCCGGCATTACCACAATTTTTGCTACATTAATACGGCAAATTGGATACTTTTCTTTTTCTCCTTCTCTTTGGCGCGTTTGGGACTTCATTATTTCCGTGGAGTAAAACTGCCAGATATGGTGTACATATGATACAGTCACGCGGTCACCTACACAGCTTTCCGCACGCCTGGCGCCTTTTTTATATTTTGCGTAACGCCAAATCATGTGATATGATTATCTGACTATAGTCACACGGATACCCACGCGAATCGCGGCCTTGGCACAGCAAATTAGTTTGTGTTATCCAAGTCCGTCATTCGGCATGGTGATGTCAAACTCATAACTTTGAGGTCATGGATTCGATTCTCATAGGAGGGCGTTCGAATTTTCTTTCTTCACAATTAGTACTTGATTTTGTATAACCTTTTTTCTGAGTCGTGTGCAGTTACAGATGGGCGCACGCCATCGTTCTAACGGTTTGGTGGCCCTGTATATGATTTAATATTGTGACAATGCCCCGCAATTTGTATTGTATGCTCGCGTTTCGTTGAAAGGTGGAGCCTTGTCCATACCTCCGCAAAACTCACTCCTGAGCGCACTCACTCACTCACCCTCACTGACCTGGCGTGATGTGAGGGTGATGACTTTGTAAGCCTCGAAGACTCTTGAATTTGAGGTGGAGTGAGGGGTGTGAGTTCGGTGAGGAGCGTGAGTTTCTGAGTTCATGAGTTTGGTGAGGGGCGTGAGTTTCTAAGGTTGGTGAGTTCATGAGTTCGGTGAGTTCATGGGTTCGGTGAGTTCATGAGTTCGGTGAAGGGCGAGAGTTCGGTGGGTTCCTGAGTTCGGTGAGGGGGCATGAGTTTATGAGGTCGGTGAGTCCATGAGTTTGGTGGGGGGCGTGAGTTCATGAGGTCAGTAAGTTCATGACTTTGGCAAGGCATGAGGTCCCTGAGGAGCCATGGGTTTGATGAGAGTTTGCGGTGTGACGTCGAGGAAGGGTGGGTCATGGGACTTCTCCGTACATTTCCGCGAAAGTTGAGTTGGCCCTCGCTTCGCAATGGCGCTGTTAGCTCGTACGGGCGGTTCTCTACGAGTGATGGAAAAGGAGGAAATGTGTTTATTGATTTATCTGCGGTCTTCGGCTCCGGCTCGCTTTGCGGAAGCTTGGCGTGGTCTTTTGCCTCTGGTCGCTGCTTTGTGGTGGGGTGACGAGAGAGGAGGAGGGCTCTTTCACTCGTCTCAGGCGCTCTCGTGTAGACTGCGAGGTATTGATATAGCCGCAGAGTTTTGTTGTTTTGTAAAGGAGGAAAATGGGCGCTACGCCGGTACGCCTGAAGGCAGACGTTGCTATCTTGAGTGCGCTCGTCTTATGCACTGTCACTAATTATGAAGACAATATTAAAACGAAAGCCTTCTGGGAACAGTCGCGATTCACCTGTGTACTTGTTTGTTCGAATTGTAGCCAGGACTTCTGCAAAAAGTACTCAGTTTGTAAAAAGTACGCATTAGAACGTTCTAACTTTAGTTGTTATGTGCGGTGCAATAGAAAATGAGAGACGCGATTAAAAATTAATATACAATAATATGGCACGCACGAAGTTCTTCAATCTTCCAAAAAAAATATTCACCAGGCAGTTATTTTAGGTGAAATAATTTGTGCGAACAACGATAAACATGAAGACACATCGTTCTGAAATGGTTCTACTCGACAACGAATTGCCAAAAAAGCCATCCTACCATTAAGGAAAAGTTCGCAATACTCTATGCAGAAACAAAATACACAACCATGGTGGTGCATGTTTGGACAATAATAATTCACACCTGAATAGACAGCGATGCAGCCGCTCACTCCATAGTTGCTCGAAGTTGTCGCGAAGGCTTGAAACGAACAGTGCATACACCTTAAAGAATACTTCTTCGCGAGACTGGCAATGATGCGCCCTTGCATCCCTTGGTCATGGCGAGTGGGCAAGCGGCGCCAGGAAGGTGAGCCCTCGTTACACGCCACCTGCGGATGCTACGAGCCATCGGAGCCAATCAAGGCAGTTTGAGTGTCACGTGACCTTGGAGATGGGACACTGCGACGCGCGGAAAGCGTATCACGGGACGTCCACAGAGCGGGATTGGCTAGGATAGTTCCAAGCGTTCGCTGCGTCCGGACGTAAGGTGAAATGGAGTATAGCTCCGAATTCTACCTTTGGTATTAACTCAACAGGTTGAGCCACTACTCATTTGCCCCTTCAGAACCGCGCAGTATACAAACGTTCGGTTTTTCGTCAAGCGTTACTAGTTTTCCACTTTATGCGGTGGATTACGACACTTGTATGCGCAGAATTAGCTTTTTTTTTTTTTTTTTTATTAGAACGCTTACGTTTAGAGCAAAACAAAACATCGTCCTCTGACCAGAAAGAAAATATATTGTAAGAAAAAAATTTGAGCAATGCATCAGTTGCATGCAAAACTCAACATTGTTTCTTGATGTAACCTGTGATACAGCCTAAAGCCGGGGTCACACTGTTTATACATCATACGAAAGACAGTCTGCATACAGATTGGGGTACGCTCTTCAGAGAGGAGGTCACGTCTTGGCTTCGTTCCATCTCCAGAGAGGAGGCCACGTCTTGGCTTCGTGTACAGACGAACACTTACACACACTTAGGTATACCCTTCACAGATTCTGTCCGATTTGGTATCTCGCCGAGTGTTTTCACTGCAAGGAATTCTCGTCCCTTTTCCGTGTAACATCGGTCTGTCAGAACAGTACTTGCCTTCCTCCACTCCCGAACCCTTCTCATGATAACTGGGGAAGCTTTGCTGCTCAGCTCGACTGCCGAAGACCAGCGCAAGCTGACTGAGTGGGCGAGACTGGCGGCCGAGAGCAGTGGAGCCCCTGGACAGGGCCCCACCTGGATCAAGTCTCTTTCCGTTTCAATAAACTTCTTTCAGTCGGTCATGCAGATTCGAACGCGAGTCACTGCGAGATCCATGCTTCGAATGCCGCATGGCAATGAGTTCAAGAAGAAAATTTGGCACGCGGCATTCGAACCACAGATATCGCGGTGTTTGCTGACTGTTTTTCGTATAATGTATGAGCAGCGTGACCAAAGCTTTAGCCTATGCCCTTTCTGAGGACGATTAATACGGCGTCTGGCCGCCGCCATGTCTCTGCACGTGCGAGCAAGCACATGCAATTGTAAGCATGTCAAGGCTATGTTCACGCGCACGCTTGGCGTGCTGGTGCCCATGCATGGGGCATAATACGCCGAGAAACTGAGGGAGAGGAGTAGATTAATCTTGTGTAGGCTTCCTAGTAGGGGGGGGACGAGACCGCGTGGGGACGGCAAAACGCCGAGCTCTGGTTGGAAGGATTAGTGGGTACATGCCAAGCTATAGCTGCCTTTGTTTCCACCGCACTCGTCGAACGCGTTATAACGCCGGCGTCCGGCGTTTGGCTTTCGCATTCGAACGCGTTCAACCTGTGAAGAGGAGGCAAAAGCGGCTAGCTTTATGTTCCCTAATCATTCGACCCATAATTAGGCGTTTTCAGTCTCCCTCAGTTTCTCGACGCATAACCGACGGCGTCAGAAACGCAAGGGCGAGGTGAATCTTCTTATCACTCCGCAACCGATGGCATTGGCCGATGACCAATTAACAAATTCTGCGTTTCTTTACCTGCTTGCTGGTGACGGTCAGTGGCTGTGACCTTGGGAACTGAAACGTGACTTTGACCCGTCGAGAGGCGTATAGAACAAATTTCTGAAGGCGTTATCGAGTCCGACTCCGCGCGGGATATCCCTTCGGTTGTTCCGGCTCAGACCTGACCGAGGCGGGCTACACGGGCACCGTTCCCCTGGGCCCCGAGACGGCGTCCTTGACACTACCGCTGGTGCTGCAGCACCTGACGCCCAGCCACGTGTCCGCTCTGGGGCTGGCAGCCGTCTCCGCGGCCGTCATGTCCTCGTTCGACTCGTCCATCCTCAGCGCTGCATCCATGTTCGCCTGGAACGTCTATGGCAACTCTGTCAGACAGTCCGTAAGTGTGCGCAGCTTTCACGACATATACTCGCGACTTCGGCAAAACGGACGCTATTGTCTAGGGGGAAAACGCTGAACTGGCCGGAGCAGGCATCCTCAACTTTCTGGGATATCAACGCCTTGGCGCGCATGCACTAAATAAATAAGAATTTCAACTGAACTACAACAAACATCGCGATGTTCCCCGGGAATAGCCTTTGAACGCGTAAAGCTTTCTTTTTTCCACGGTTCTGCAAATTCATCTGCGCTAAATCCTATGAGCTATATTCACAAAATCACCAATTTCTGCCTTTCTTGACAAAATGTCGTAATGTCATCCAGGACTGTAATTGCCTGGGTATCATAGAACGCATATCGATTAAAACTTTTATATTTTCTTGAAAACTTCTTTATTTCACGAAATGTCCCTGAAAGTTGTCCATGTCCTTTCGCGATTTCTGTTAGTCTCGTGTGGCTTCGGTGATTGCATGTTGTCGGCGGTTGGTGCGATGGCCACCCTAGTGAAACGAGAAACGTTGCGATGCTTGTGTCCGCAGCAAGAAGGACGGCTGCGGCGACTGAGCCACAGGGAAAACAGTGACCAATATGTACATACAATGGCCTAACGAATTAGGTGAACCTTGCATTGCTTCTCGTGTTGTGTAGGGCGAAGAGTTGTCCTGGTGCCTTTGTCGTTACTGTCGCATCAGCATGTTGACTAGGTCGCTCTGAGCGTATCGTATACGCAACCACGTGAACCAGACATTGTGCGCTTATCAATGTTCATCACCGTCGTAGAATAATAGTAGGTATAGTTCTTCCATTGCTTCCCCGAAGAAGGCTATGCCTCTTGAGGCTCGCTTAAAACAACACACCACTGCAGGTGTGTGTTGGGAGGGGGGGGGGGGGGGGCAAACCATTTTTAGATTATGCGTTCAGCTGGCATGCACAACTCGACTAGCTGTTTTCCGCTGGCATATTTGTCGAGAGTGACGACTCCTATGGGTCACTGGAGTCGTGAATACCTGACGTCACCGCACCATAATGGTGGTCATCCCTACTTGTTCTTGCTGAGAAAGATCAGTTCGGAGGTGCGGGGCGCCAAATGTCTACTGCAAAAGGTATACGCGCTCAGTGCACGGGTACCAGAATAGTCGCTGATGTGACGTCACTGCAAGCTATGCCCAATGTTACTAGATTGGCTCAGTAACGGAACTGCCCATAGATGCTGCTTGCACGAGCAATAACTTCCTCCCCTCCCCCCCCCCCCCTTCCCCCCCCCCCCCCCCCCCCCCACCCCCCTCTGCACCCGCGGCTCACCTTCCGCCGTTCTACGATCTACCGTCTTTGGGGGACGGCTGCTATGGTAAATGCGGTGTGTTCTGTGATGGAATACGCGTGTTTCGAAGCACAGCGTGAAGATGGCCTTTCACCGTGCTTTATGAAACACGCAGTTTTGAAACGAGAATCTCGATGGCAGCTCAAACGAGGGAGGCGGGCTGAAGGGAGTGAAGGGAGGTACCCCCTCTGCGGGAGTTCCCCAACTGAGAGAATCAATTAACGTTGGCTATGTCGAGGGAGCGCGTTGGCTCTCATCGAAATTCTTGTCACCTGGATGATCGACTTTGAATAGCTGTACGAGGTTAGTTCTTTAAAGCCTCATTCTAATTGTGTTGAATAGAAGCCAATTTAGAGCCTTGCATAAGACTTCGGAAGTAATCCGTTACAAGTAAGGGATTACTTGTAATCCGTTACTTTTTCAAGTAATTTTGTAATTGCCACATTAATATTTTTGCGGCAGTAATTTCTAACGTAATTTCGTTGTAAAATATTGGTAAAAGATTACTTTAATTACTCGTTACTTTTTTAAAAATATGAACATAATACAGGAACTGGAGCAATATGAGCTGGCAATTCAGCAGCATAAAGACAGCAAGGTCAACAAAATAGAAAACCTCGTGAAGAGGAGAATAAGTGAAAATAAAACACAATTTACTTGTATGACCGGTCACTAGAACCGCTAGGAAAAAAAAAAAAAAACGTGCAAGACATACAAATGTGCGAAAAACAAAAATCAAGAAGACAACGCCTCTTGTTGATCTAGCGCAGGTAGACTCTGCTACTTAGTATGCGCACCGCTGTGTATTGTCTGCGGAATTCCAGAGATCATTTCCGCTCGTCGTAAACTTATCGGATAGCGGGTGTGGTTGCAGCTTTCGCTGCCTTGTCAGATTACAGGAGAACGAATTGCCACGTACTACCTTCTTTTTCTTAAATACAATAGTTTACTTTTGTATAGACTACCATAATCCCGGCGTATGAGAAATGGAAACTAGTGTTGCAAAACTTTTTGAAAACATCAACATTGTTTCTATTGTTTTCCCGATAAGTGTACTTGAAAAGTAACGTGAAAGTAATTTGTAACTTAAGGAGTAAAGAAATCCGTTACTTTTCGGTGAAAGTAATTTGTAACGGTAATCCATTACATTGGAGTCTCGGTGATTTGTAATCGTAATCCATTACATTTTTCAAATAACGGGCACAAGTCTGCCTTGCATCATATTTTTATGTCAGAAAGTGCAAGCGAGACTTTTTATTTTGAAGTCAATCATTTACGATTGTTACACCGCGGTAGCACCATCGCTGAAGGTGGCGAATTGTACACCTGGAGGTGAACGTGAAATACTGGAAAGATTTGAAGAGACGAAGCCCGCTCTGTAACTCTCCTCAGCGTGGTCGCCTAAATTCTTGTTCAATTGAAGAATCATTCAATGTATATAAGTCTGTTAGCATCAGAGTAGTCTGGTTTCATGTATTATAATCATATGTTCGTAGTGTTAGAGGTGTATAATTTGCTTTGTATGTCCTTCATGAATTTTCTGCCGAGAGACACTTAAGGTAGATGCGGGTGATTGTAATGGTGCCTCTCTGAATATGCTTTCATCATAAAGTATTATCCACTTAGATGTAGTATACACGTATTCTGTCCTGTGCTTTCTTGCTCGTCTTTGTACACTGCTGTTCACTTCTTCGTGCGATTTTTCGTTCACTTTTTTTTTAAAAGTTTTGTGCTAATAGAATGCGACACATTACGCAGAATTATTTAAACATAAGACCAAAACAAGCAGAAATCCTTTATTTTCGGTGAAATGCTAAGAAATCAGAAGGTCCACCTCCAGCAGGGTTGTCTTCACGTGCTTGGCTGCGCGTGCGACGAAGTGCCATCAAAGGAATGCTCGAGCTTGAGGCGGATACTGAATTCTTAACGTGTCACCGAATATGGTTATTACGTGTAGCACAAAACTCCACAGGATAAAAGACTCGTTTGTTTCACTCCTGTCCTTATTTACGTATTAGTTGCGAATCTTGTAAACATCCTTTATGCATTCATGCTTATTTCCTTTCGCAGGCTTCTGAAAAGGAAATGCTTTGGGTGATGCGCATCGCCACCGTCGTCATCGGCACCGTAGCCTCTATGATTGCGCAACTGGCCATGTCAGCGTACGTATTATGGTACCTCTCGTCGGACCTCGTGTACGTCCTCCTGTTACCCCATCTCTTGACGGTGACCTACCACAACAAGGAGTGCAACGCGTACGGCTCCCTGGCCGGTTACGTCGTGGGCGCCGTGCTTCGCGCAGGCGGCGGGGAGGACGCGCTCAACATCCCTCCTTTCATCAGGTACCCGTACTACAACGCCCGCGATGGACAACTCTTCCCGTTCCGCACGTTCGCCATGGTCATGACGTACCTCACGCTCCGGGTCGTCTCCAGGGTGTCCAAGTGGCTCTTTACGGATAGGGTACCACTCAAGTTCGACCTCTTCAAGTGTTTCGTCGCGAAGCCCCCGATGGCCAAGGAGGACGTGTCGAGCAAGGACGCCGAAGAAATGCCGACGAAATCGGATGAACAAGAGCAGCCAGTGCGCCACTTCTTGGGGATGGGAGTGCTATTGCCGACCGCCGTGGATCAGGAAGTCGGAGTTGATAGCGCCGAGCAAAAGTCCTTGGGTGAGCACACCGGCAATACGACAATCTCTGGAGCGTCGGCCGTGCCGTCGGTGGACGTGCCTGCACTGCAGTGTTCACATAGCGATAAGCCTCAGACAGCGCATCTTTCTCCCCCGAAGAAACGACGCCATACGAGGAGAAAGCGGCCTACTCCCAAGAAAGTGCTGGAGTCCCAGGAGCCCGGAGACGTTCAGAACTCTACGGAGGTTGCGAGGGAGTGAGTTGGTCGAGTTGGCACGCATTGAACATTGTGATAAACAGCGCACGAGAGACAAGGACACTGTAGAAGAAAACAAGGCCAGCGCGTGTCTTGTCTCTTTTCTTCTGCTGTGTTCTGGTCTCCTGTACGCTGTTTATCACCGTGTTCTCTGCAGGTTCTAGAGGGCCACGAGACCCAAGAGGCTCGATCAGCCTCCTCAAGGAGATTTATCAGCCTGGTGAGACTCAGCCTCCAGAAAAACGTGAGCCACAAGATAGCCCGAAGACTCAGGAGGTTCAAGAAACGAAACTATCAGAGCCCCAATAATCATGGAGAGGCAGTCGAGCTGTGCGTCGAGACCAGTCGAGACCATCTTTGTGGTAACGAGAACATTCTCCAGAGTTGCTAGGCTTATTGCACTCCATCGTGATATTTATGGGCAGTGTTGGGGGACGCATGGGTGTGTATGCGTCGCTTTCTACGGTGCTTTATGTTTGGTGGCACTCGTGAAAACAGTATTTGTGCTGAGCCGCGCTCCGCAAGGTGTAATTTTTATTGTGCTGCGTATTTCAAATGTACACGTATGCGTTCTTGGGAGTAGATGAAAGCCGTAAAAGTATTGCATCTAAGAAACTATACTGACAAATCTTATTGATATCCTAAAGTCCTTTTAAGTCTCATCGAAAAAAAAAAATGGTTTAAACAAAAATCGTCAAATTATCACTTAATTGTTTCATTGGTGTGGCGTTTATGAGAACGAAACAGAAAGAAACAGACTTAGTATTTGATCCTAGTAACGTACATCATTATTAGAACGATGTAGTAAATTGTTTCTATCATGACCATATTCTTTTTAGGCGTGCATTTGAAAACATATGAGTGATTTCATCTGAAATCGTGCAGGCAAATAAAAAAAAAACCTAATTTTAAAGACTTTTTTTCCGACATTTTTAGAATATATTGGCAGCAAACCGCAAGTTTGTTGAATGATTTGTTCTTGAGATATTGAACTTCAAAGCGACTGCGGCGAAATTATAAGTATTTTTTGCGTCCGTCGCAGATCGTAGGTTTCACCCAATGTACCAACATAGCTTTTGCGCCTACATTAATTTTTTTTTTTTTGGCAAGCACGTTATAAGTATAGTTAAAAAGCAACTCCGCTTCATTTTTGTTTTTGAAAAGGAAAACAAACAAAAAAAACAATGCAGTCCTCTTCAGTATCACCTAAAACCACACGTCAAATGTTACGATGTAGTTGCGACTAAACGTTTCTTAAACGGTCCGGCAAACTTTGCAACTCGCCAAGTTGCCGAAATCGGCTGACTTGAGCGGCCGAATTGAGGCGCAACCAACAGCGCAGTCAAGACTTACGGCGTGGGCGTAGCCAACATTGAGCTAAACGTCATCACCATTGCCCCCTTTTGCATGTTTTTACTTTTCCGGGCAAGCGTAATGGGTGACGTCAGCAACGTTTTTTTCTCGGCGCTCAGCGGTGTCCACGTGATTGGCGTAACGCGCCTGCGCAGTGCGCTCTTTGGGAGCCGTCCGGCCTAAGGGGCCTTAGTCCGGCCGCCCCTCCCTGGTCGCGCCGTTACAGCCGTCTTCCGCTTCACAGCCGCTGCCGTTGTCTCACCGTTTGTGATTATCGTCTCTCGGAGTTTCGTCCACACCACGGACACTACGTGCGCAGACCTATGCCGCAGTTGTGCAAATACGCGACCTGTGACTATCGCCCAAAATCCCAAAATCTGTCTGATTTTTTAGGAGTCGAAAAAATGAACTAAAATAAGGACGGAAAAACGGATTTCAGATTCGTCCTACTGAAGCATTTGCCTCCCCCCCTCCCCTCCCCCCGACACACACACACGCACACGGACGCGCACACACACACACACACACACACACACACACGCGCGCGCGCGCGCGCGCTCGCGCGCGTCGATTAGTGACACAGCGCGACAATCGCGAAAATGCGGCGCCAGCGCCGGGCGCCTCGTCCGACCCATCTTCGTACGACGATGGGCCATTACGTCATGTACAAACGCAATGTGCACGGCGATCTGGGAAAGACACTTTCGAAACGCTAGAAAATTGAGCATTACGTTGACTCGCATAGCGCCAAAAAAAGCGTAATACAAACTTTCGAAAGCCCCCAGGTCACCACGTGACTCCCCCCGAGGTCACGTGACCCCCCGTGATTCCCCCACCCCGAGGTCCTGCGCCCCCCCCCCCCCCCCCCCCCCCCCCGAGGTCACGTGACCCCACTTCCCCCTTCAGGTGGTGCAGGTGGAAAGAAACAGTTTATTTTTTTTTCTAGCTCTCACTTAAAAATTGACAATTGAGTACTGGAAGCATGTAGGCTTCATTTCTAAAAGCAGTTTTGCGAAATCAGTGTCGCTTCCAGTTTGCCTGAATGGCGCTAGTCTCTACAGGCTGCTTATGTAAAAGCAAAATTTGATTATTTTGCAATTCTCGCTGAGCTGTTTTAAAGTTCTTCCACAGATTCTAACAATCGCACGCACACAAGTAAATTACCTATCTTAAAATCTGTCGCACGAAATTAATTTTAGTTTATTGTTCTGCAAGTCGTATTCACGGCTGAACAATTTTTCCACGCCTTTTCGAACGTAGTTTCTAAAACAATCAATCCCTGAAAAACAATTGTTACACGTATCAACTACAAAAATATAATGATAACGTCACCTTCAATTGTACTTGAAAGTTTGAACGCTGTCATCAATCAGCTATTTAAAGGAGCGGTGCAACGATATTCAATCGGAATGTTTTTCACTTTACACGAGCTTAGTGGCACTAGTGGGACACAAGGATACTCGCACGCAACACCACTGACCAAGAAACTCTTTTGTTCCTGCGCAATTTCAAAAACAAAAGCGATCATTTTCATTCAATCTCTCCTTTACAAAATTTGATGACGTAACGTGGGGATCGCAGTACACCCCAAGTGACGATATTTCAATGCGGTTCATAGATTGGACCCGAGCATTGCGTGGGCACTCGATTTGGGCTCGTGATAATTACTAGCTCGAGAAGCATTCGGGTAGTGGCCCGTGTCCAACCGCTGCAACGACGACGATAGCCGAGCCATAACAATGTCTGAAACTCAGCGCGTGTCCTGTGCTTTACCAACCCCTGCGCGTGGCTATAGATCAACATTGGCGGCATATAATCGGCTCCAGATCGCGTGGCCGCTTGTTCTGGCTGCGAGTTGAGGGGGTGAACGCTGCTAGTTTTCCTTTAATTTTTTTCTGGGACTTCTATTGCGTGAAGTGAAAAACGAACACGTGTTTTATAGGTCATTAACGTCAGGGATCTGTTCTAAGCGGAATTTGCGCAAAGTACATAAGTTGTTGCATCGCCCCTTTAAATTTGCCAGACAAGTACGCGAGGCCGTAGTTTTACATATCGACCGCATCTACGGTTAAAACCTTCACACGAATAAAGCTGTGTCAAAAAATAAAAGTCGCATACTTTTCAGGAATAAAAACAGTAACTCTACCTGTAGTGTATCCGGCTCACTAGCAAATCTCAGCGTCAAGCGCGGAAAACGGCCAGTCACCACCCCGATCGCGGCTGACTTGTATTCTGTACATCACGGCAGAACAAGACAAATACAGTTTCCTGACTAATTCGGGCAACCAAACCACTCTCCATCCGACTTTACACAACAAAACGCGAACGTATTGTGATTCTTATTTCAACATTGAAAAGTGCGCAGACTGGATCTTTCAAGGAGCCAGTCTGTGCTCCCTTCAAGATGTCGTCGGGGGCTAGTTGTCTTTCTGTGCGACAGATGGCGTTGCTTTATCAAAAGGTTCTATAAGTAAATTTTAAGAGGTACCGCAGTTAGCAATCGACAGTGAGATTTTCAAAGTACCGCATTTTCCGGGAGGAGTGCGTCTGCGGACTATGCACGTTTAAAAGTTGACATTTTAGGCTGTGCGGATTACCTATTCCTGCGGATTATACAGGAATTATGTTTTTTCAAGATCGTTCATTATGACGAGGCGTGACGGATTTTGTCAATGCAAAATTATGTTAACGACGATTTACACATAATAGGATCTTCTTTGTACGCTAAGAAAGCATATATCTGTCAAGGTGTGCCGTGTACGAGACGGTTCTTCTTGTCGACTCAGCACCAGGTGCGGACTATGCACGGCGTGCGAACTATGCGCCGGGTGCGGACTACAGCCTGGAAAATATGGTACTGGCGAATCTATGAGGGTCCTCAGAAACAAGCAAAATCAATAGCCAACTGAAAGTAACAAAATCCCCTCCGGATGTTTCGCCATTATTTGTTTTTGTCTTTCTCGGCACACCCTGTGTGGCGCTTCCGACGGGAGTATAAAATCGATATTCAAATCTCTGACAGACCGGATGAGAACCAGATTTGCGCATTCCGCCAAAAAAAAAAAAAAAACGATGATCAAAGAGTGCACAGGGTGCATCGTTAGGGAAAATTTCGTTGATCGCGTGCGTCCATTGGTCCAATGCCTTTGTTAATAAATAAGTGCCCATAGCACTTGACGGAGCCAGTGTCAGAATACAATAACGTTCAGAAACATCAGTTGGGTTTTCAGACGGCGCCCCACTCCAGGTTATAGGGAACACGGAGTCGTGGCAAATCTACGTATCTCTGAAAAATGAACTCGGCGCAACGCAGTCAGACAAAAAAGGGTCCACCCCAAATAGACAGAAGCGACGTCCTCCGCATGTTTCGGGGCTTGTTTGCCATGATGAAATTAGTGGGCCTTTTACCTCGAGACCTGCCAGAAGTCATCGAAGCCGAGGTTGACGCTAGGAGCATCGCAAGGAGAATGCGTCGGGCTGGTGTTCTACTCTTTATTGTTTTCGGCTACTTGATTCACTTCAGCGCTGCCACAGTCTACAATGTCACCCACGATGGAGGCTTCTTCGGCTTCTTTGCCAATTGCGGCTACGTTCTTCGCAACATCTTCGCCGCTCTGTCCCTGGTTCATTTTCTCGTGTTTCAAAGGGTTCTGCTGAGAATCGTCGTGGATGGATTCCGTATCTTCGAGCATCCGCCTCTTAGCATCGAGAGAAAAGTGCGCCGCGCCACCGTCTTGGCGGCCTGTTTCGTCGTGTCCACTTTCGTAGCCCTTCAGAACACGACTGTGTGGGTTGGTTTCGTGGATGTGCAGAAGTACTTCAACTACTACCTCTACAAGGGAGACGTGACCCAAGGCACCATACCCAGACAGCTGGGCTACCTGTTCAGCTTCATTGACGCCACGACCTACGCAATCATGGAAAGCACGCTGAACTGCATCATCACCTTTCACGCCTGCGTCTCCCTATACCTGGGGTGTTTGTGCGAGAACTTTGTGCGAATCATCCGAGAGGTGTCCCAGCAGACTTCAGTCAGCG